TTTTTATTTATCATTTGCTAATGCGTTATTGGATTCTAAACTACAATTGGAAGTTGATGCTTGAAGAACGGACAACAAAATTGAAAGTGTTTCTCAGCAACATTATTCTTTTAGAATGAATTAGTGTATTTGTTAGATTTTTGATGTTTTTTTTCCGATTTGAAAGTTTTTTAGTTTTATTCTTTTACAATAAATGTAATTCTTAGCAATTGTTACATGTATTATATAATAATTAATGTAATTTTTTGTTTTAATTCTTCAATTGATGGTTCGAGAATTTTGTTATTCTACAAGAAAATTTTAAAGTCATGATCAAGAAATATATTCAAGAATATTTTTATTATTTTATGGTTCAAGAATATTTTTATTTTTGAACATACTCAAACATATTCTGTCAGAATTTCCGAATTAAAAACCTTATAATTTGTAAAATCGGATATTTAAAATAAATAGAATCTATGATCCCCTAAAATATGCAAATTTCCTTTATTAAATCTATATTAACTTACTAAATTACCCTTGTAATTAATTATGATGATATTTTTCAATTATATTTAATTCAATAATATATATTAATCACTTTCTTAAAATAAGTAATTTGATTGACCCACATTTATGCATACAATAACACAATAATTACTTTGAATAGAATAACGTAAGCCAATATATATATATATATATATATATATATATATATATATATATATATATATATAACAAAAATACCAATAAATAATAAACTTCATTTTAGATTGAATATTTTTTTTGTAACACTTTTAATAATCTCTTTATGTTTTGTCTAAGGTTATTCGTAAAATATGTAGTAGATGTACCATCACTTGGTGATGTTATCTTTTCAATGATCATGTTAAGGCTTTGGGTAGGGTCGTTTAATCGTATATATACGACTCAAACTTGATTAACTTTATAATAATTGATTAATTGTGTTCGAGCTTCTAAGACAAATATTCTGTTAAGGCTTGTTCTCGAGCTTGATACTCATTTTATGGTTAAATATTTTGTAATCATGTAAAATTTGATCTTGGTTATTTTGTTTATGGACTCAAACTCATAGTGTTCTAAAAAAGTATCAAAATGAAGCTTGTATATGAAACACATTATTAGCACTAAAAATCAAAGAAAACATTCACCTCCACTTTGACAATAGCATGGTATAAAAATAAAACCTCCTTAGAGGTCTAAAAGATTATCACATCACTATATTCAATAGAAAGTTATCAACATATAAACTTATACATTTTATAAACTATTCAAAAACTCTTAAATATTTATAAATGGGTCCTATCACTTAGTTTATTTATTATATCTATATTGTATCTAATTATTAACTCTATTGATTGATGTATTTTTATTAAAAAATATTATTCAGTTTTTTCTATGTATTAATAAATATAAACAAACAAGAGATATAAAGTGTAAAACTAATATAAAGTGAAGAGGAAATTTTGAAAATTCAGTGCTCAAATGTTATAGCTCTCGGACCTCTTCATATCATCAACCTTCTACCACACTATCTTGAATCTAACTCATTTAATCCCATTGTGGTTAATCCGTAGACATCATCGATTTTGAGTACCATTGCACTTCATCCTACTTGTTTCTGGATTTGATTTCTAGGATTTCATCAGGTTTTTATTTCATCATTGATTTTAGGTTAGGTTTTACACTTTGGATGATAGGGATCTTTCATCTTCATCATTGATTTCAGCTTAGGTTCTAATTTCAAGATTTAACTTTGGGTAGGTTTTGATTTCGAGATTTTATCTTGGTATGGTTTTGATTTCTAGGATTTGATCTTGGTTTTAGTTTCGATTTCATTTGATTTGGTATAGGTGGTGACTGATAGTAGTTGCAGGAGGTGAATGTTGGTTGTTATTGGAGGTAAATGGTCATGGTTGTTAGAGGTAATGTTAAATATAAGGATTTCGGAATAATAATAATACTTGGATATTACTTGGATCGTGATTATATTACTTTTCGAAATCTATAATTCGTCCCTTATAGTCTGGGGTTACACGAATTCAAAAGTGAGATAAGACCAAGAAATCTGATTTGGATCACAAGCCTAATCCAAACCATAAAACATAGATGGCATTGATGTTTTGTGTTCTTGTGAGATAGAAAATAAAAAATGATCAATTTCGTATATATTAATGATCATCCTTTTTCCTGGAACATTTACCTTGCATTTATAAAAGGAAGAAAAAATGGTTAAATGTTAGTTACACCAAATTGGCGCCAAAAGGGTAATTTTTTTTATACAACTAATGCCTACATCACCATGATGTCATCACTAGGAGCTATCCGCCAGGGGCGTTGCCCCTTAGAGCCCACAAGGGACGCTGCCCCTAGACCTCACCAAGGGTGTTTCCCTTTCGAACACTGTACCCACGGGCGCTGCCACCGTACCCTCATATACCCGAGTTCACATTTAACACTCCGAGTGTGCACCCCGTATCTCTAGTCTCGGATAGTAAATTAAACTCGACCTGTCTCGACAACAATAATAATTACACTAAAATATGATGATAAACTAAAATTACTAATAGGTAAATGTGGTATCACATCGATGATGTTGTTGGCTACCTGAATAGGTGGGTGGTGGTGGTGACCTAACTATTGGTGGTTTTCACTGACAGGTGGTAATGGCGTGAGTGGTCCTATATGACTATAAATAACTTAAATTATTTTTTTTTAGATTAATAAATAATAAACAAATAAAAGAAAACAAATCTTCATAAAGGGTTCATGTGGTTTTTCCTCCTTCACTTTTTTCATGTCATAAAGATCCCTATCATTTCAATTCATACTTTTTAATTTATTTTATATTTTTTTAAATAAAATTATTTAAAAATAAAATAACACCGCTACCCTGTCTTCGTCTTCTTCCCCACATCCTTCTTCCTCCAAAACCCCAAACGAATCAAACGCACATCTATAACAATCGTTATGTCGGATCCGATACCCGGAAGAAAGAAGTAGTCATCGATGGAGAAGGAATCACCTGCCTCCTCACCATTGTTTCGCTACACAGATTCGATCGATCGCTACATAGGAAGAAAAAGTAGTTAGGATTGGGGGTTCGATCGGAGTTGTTGCGATCCGAAGGAACGTCGTTCACTTAGTTTAAGAATGGGTGGGAGGTTTTGGATACCATGGGAGTGAGTGATGAACTCAAATTCCAATACCTTGAGATTCTAAGGTATGTTCTTCCCTGTTTTCTCAATATGATAGAATTATATATTGTTGATCTCAATCAATATCAATCGTGCAGGATGGTGATAAAACAAGAAAACTTGTTAATCGGAAGTAGGCACAGGATATTGAGGCGAGAAAAGAGGAAGGCATAGAAGAGCGGTCTTCCGATTTGGAGGAAGAATAGGATTGGCCACAACAAGGCGATGGTCAACGATTATGTGGTAAGGATGGTGGTGGGAAGGTGGCTGAAAAGAAGAATAAGGTTGGGGTCATGTGATGGAGGGTTTAAGTTCTTATGGAGATGACGATAAATATTATGTTGGTATGGTGAAGATCTTGTTTTTGTTCATGGTGGAGGTTGTGGGTGATGGATAAATAAGGGTGGTATATCCATCTTAATATGCTTTGTTCGTTAGTGTTTGATTGATTTCCCCCAAGATAAATTGCAATAACGTTGTCACAATAAATAATAGTGTCTTTCGTGAGAGGGATGTGAAGCTCTAGTAATAAATTTCGTAGTCAGAAACAACATTTGCAACGCCCTTGATATTCAGCCTTTGCACTCGGTCGTGCTAAAATATGTTGTCATTTTGATGACCAAAAGATAAGACTGCCACCAAAAAACACACAATCTCCAGACAACCACCCAATGTACATCCGTATAACATAGAAGATGTGATGACTTTGATTTCGTGAGACAAAGTATCATATGCACATATTGAATAATAAATTTGAGGGCATTCATGTGACATGTTGATGGATTATGCATGTGAAGGCAAATTTGTATAACTACATAAAATCTATCAGAACGTGTTAAGGTATTGTAGTGCACCCGCAAGAGTGCGATAGTAAGTAGGACTTGGGTGTATGGATCAATCGGGTTGTGAGCTCAGCTTGACATTTCTATCAACAAGGGTATGTGATGGTTTACATGAAGACATTCCAACGTGTTCAATGATTTCTCTAGAAAATTGTGTTTGATTAATCACAAATATTAATACCATGCTAAGGATAACGTTTTTTTAAGAAGAATATTTGACTTAACGATAATCAATTAAGACAACAAGATGACTGATAATGAGTGGCCCTTGATTAGATGTGGTTCTGTTGACGACTACAAGAAGTCTCTATCATCTCAAATATCATATTATAGTACATTACAATACATATTCTAAGACTTGACCATATTCTTTTAGTAAATTACAATTTTGGTTCACTGAAAATTTTAGATTTTGTCAAAAATTTTATGTTTTTAACGTTTTTCATCCTTTAAATTACTTTCTATAACATTTTTCGTCCATGTAATGGATGCTGCTAGTTTTGGCCGTTAATATACAACATTTCGGCATCACCATTTACTCTTCCCTTTATATTATTTGCTTAAAATACAAACATTTAGAAATACAATGACATTTTTCATTCTAATTTGGTTGCTAGTTATACTCTTTTGCACCAAGAGTTTGGCCAATAAATCCATCAATTTCCGTAATTTCCAGCATACTACAGGGCTGAAAACTGTAGTTTGCCCTATTTTTTATTTTATTTTATTTTTAATTATATTTGGCCGCCTAACAACTTGTATAGTGAGCTGTGAGCATTTAATTTGGAAATGAGGAAGAATACAACATGATTTAAGATTTTCACCGTTTAATTAGAAGGAAACTTGGCCTGGAATGAGTCAACGTTAGCACAAACTCAAGTTCTTGAAACATTCAATAAATGTTAGATTAGATGGTTAAATCAAGTGTTCATTCTCATAGGCAGTTGTGTGTTTATTAGTGATGAGGGAACCATGGATCTCTGGCTTTTTCTTTGCTTTCTTTCTCATCTTCTCATCCATTGTTACTCAACCTCTCTACTTTCCTACTGCCAATCTTCCAACCACATGGACCAATGATGAATCTTCTCTCCGTTCGATCAATTTCACAGATGGCTCAAGGATCAGAGTCATCCTCCTTAGGACAAGCGGTTTACCTATGTTCACATGTGGCTTCTTCTGTAATGGAACATGCACGTCTTATCTCTTTGCAATTATTATCAATTTATTTATGGTGGTTAATCCTCAAGTTGTTCCGTACACCAACAAAGACTCTCCAGAGGTCATTTGGTCAGCCAACCGTGACAATCCAGTCAGGGAAGGTGCAATACTGAGTCTCAATGAAGCTGGAGAATTGGTGTTACACGATGTCGATGGAAGCATAGTTTGGACTACAAACACTAATGGACAATCTACAGCTGGCATGAACCTAACTGATAAAGGAAATCTGATGTTGTTCGATGACCATAACTCGATGGTTTGGCAATCATTTGATCACCCTACAGACTGTTTAGTACAGGGGCAAAAACTATTTCAAGGACAGAAGCTCATACCTAGTGTTTCATCAACCGACTGGACTGCTCAAAAAGATTTATTCTCTCTTCAAGTCACCGATAAAGGTCTGTTTGCTTATGTGGAATCAAACCCACCTCAAGTCTATTTCCGGAAGTTGGTAAATGGCATAAATCCAGAAAATTATGTAGTATTCTTAGATAGGAGTTTGTGTTTCTTCATTTTTTCTACTAGGCCAAATTATTGTAAGAGTGTGCTTGATATACCTCCAGCCTTCCCATTTCAGTTTATAAAATTAATGCCAGATGGACATTTGAAAGTGTTTGGATGGGATGCTTTAGATGGAGGGGCGATAGTTGCCGATCTATTAACCGGTGATCTAGGAGAGTGTTTTTATCCATTGGCTTGTGGGAGAAATGGCATTTGCTCGGGTAATCAACAATGTAGTTGTCCAAGATCAAGCTCTCCAGGGACAGACTATTTCAGAGCAGTGAATGATAGCCAACCAAACATGGGTTGCTCTCAAGTTACTCCTATCACATGTAACGCTACTCAAGATCAACATTTCATTGAACTCAAGCACGTCAAGTACTTCACCTACACTGCCGACATGGAGGATGTGGATATGGAGACTTGTAAGCAGGCGTGTCTGGGAAAGTGTTCATGCAAAGCAGCTCTATTCGAGTATGGTTCAAATTCTTCAAGTGGAAATTGCTCTTTACCTTCTGAGCTTTTTACAATGACGAAACTTGACGCACATGAAATGCGTCTTAATTCTTCAGCTTTTATAAAAGTCCAGAATGTAAGATCATCTCCTTCCTTTAAAGTTCATGTTGCCACAGTTATAGGTTCCACAATTGGAAGTTTGGTGCTTCTTATTGTAGTAATAGGTTTTACTATGTTCATAGTCAAAAAGAAAAAAACGGATAGTGAAACAGAAGAAGAGTACTTAGATCAAGTGCCAGGAATGCCAACTCGGTTTTCCTATGAAGAACTGAAAACAGCCACAGAAAATTTCAGCAAAAAGCTTGGCGAGGGAGGATTTGGATCAGTTTTTGAAGGGACTCTCGAAGATGGCTCGAGGATTGCAGTAAAATGTCTTCAAGGTCTTGTGAACGTTAAAAAATCATTCTTGGCCGAGGTTGAGTCCATTGGCAGCATTCATCATGTGAATCTAGTTCGACTTAGAGGAGTTTGTGCTTGGAGATCAGAACGGCTTCTTGTGTATGAATTCATGAGTAACGGATCATTAGACCAGTGGATCTACCATGGAGACCGAAAGCCCGTACTTGGATGGGTACGTAGAAAGAAGATTATTCTTGATATTGCTAAAGGTTTAGCATATCTCCATGAAGAATGTAGGCAAAAAATCATCCACCTCGATATTAAACCTCAAAACATACTCCTGGATGAAGATTTCAATGCCAAAGTATCTGATTTTGGGTTGGCTAAGCTCATCGATAGAAATCAAAGCCAAGTGATGACTACAATGAGAGGAACTCCGGGCTATATGGCTCCGGAATGGTTGAGCTCAATTATCACTGAAAAGATGGATGTATATAGCTTTGGGATTGTTCTTTTGGAGATCTTATGTGGGAGGAAGAACTTTGACAGTAGATCTCAGCCACAAGACAGTTGGCATTTACTGTGCGTCTTCCAGAGGTGTTGGGAAGAGGGGACATTGTTGGATATAGTTGACAGGTCCAGTAAAGATATGCAGGTAAATGGCGCAGAAGTTATGGAGATGATGAAAGTGGCTTCATGGTGTTTACAGACTGATTTTACGAAAAGGCCTTCAATGTCATCGGTGGTTAAGGTGTTAGAGGGAGTAATGAATGTTGAATCAAACCTAGATTACAACTTCTTGTATCCAAGACTGCAGAAAATAACAGATGAACATGAGAAAAGCTCGAAACCGGTGTTGCCTTCTATTCTATCAGGGCCGAGGTGAGTTGCATATCGATCATCGCATATGGTTTTTCTTTCTTCAAGAACGATAAAAGCGCGTTTTGTTCCCCAGTAAATTAATAAATTGGATATCCATCTCTTTATGTTTTGTCTAGGGGTTAGGTGATATTAATTTTTTAATAATCATATTAACTAGCAATCGGCTCAAGCTTGATTGACTTCTTGATAGTTCAATAGTTTGATGATTTTGTAATAATATAAATTGTTTAATTTCATCCCCAAGTTTAGTTGAAGTTAATTGTGTTTTGAGTATTCTAGATTCCATCAAACATTGAATGTAGATAAAAAAGCGTATATATTATTTCATCCAAAAACAAATATAACAAACTAGGTTATACACCGTATAATACACGTTTGATAAATTAAAATAACATAAATAATAATTGTAATAAAAATATTTTAAACAAATTTATAAAAAGATATTTACAAAAATCTAAAAAAAAGGAGAACAAATAAATGGAAAAGGAAATTATTTATAATTGATTATTTCTTTCTATCAAGGATCACTTTATTAATTACCAAACATTTTGAATTTAAAAATTCTCTATTAATAATGTTAATTTTAAGGATTTACGGTAAGATTTAAATTTAAATATAAATCATAAAAAAAGATATGTGTCTTTTTAGAGAGTACGAGAAATGAAATTAAAAATTATAAAAAAAATAATAATAAGTGGCAAAATTTATAAAATTTTATTAGAAAAAAAGATTTATAAATACGTGAAACAACTAAACGGGGGAAAAAAGCAAAGAAACGGGTGGAGGGAAAGGAACCTGCATTGGCGGTCAGTCGAACATAGAAAAAAAACCGCAACCAATACAACATCCAACTGAAAATTAACTTATTTGTTCTCCTTATGTCATGAAAATCATATCAACTTAGATAGAAAAAAGAAAAAGAAATTGATTAGGTTCAAGGGCATGTCGTTGTGTGAAAGCCACGACGGTAAGGAAGTGTTTTCTGCACAGTTTTACACAAGAGCCCTCGAGACAACATATATATATATATATATATATATATATATATATATATATATATATATATATATATATATAGGCTTATCTATTCTATTCAAAGTAATTATTGTGTTATTGTATGCATAAATGTGAGACAATCAAATTTACTTATTTTAAGAAAATGATTAATATATATTATTGAATTAAATATAATTGAAAAATATCATCTTAATTAATTACAAGGGTAATTTAGACAGTTAATATAGATTTAATAAAGGAAATTTGCATATTTTAAGGGATCATAGATTCTATTTATTTTAAATATCCGATTTTACGAATTATAAGGTTTTTAATTCGGAAATTCTGGCAGAATATGTTTGAGTATGTTCAAAAATAAAAATATTCTTGAACCATAAAATAATAAAAATATTCTTGAACATATTTCTTGATTATGACTTTAAAAATTTCTTGTAGAAAAACAAAATTCTCGAACCATCAATTGAAGAATTAAAACAAAAAATTACATTAATTCTTATATAATACATGTAACAATTGCTAAGAATTACATTTATTGTAAAAGAATAAAAACTAAAAAACTTTCAAATCGGAAAAAAAAAACATCAAAAATCTAACAAAATACACTAATTCATTCTAAAAGAATAATGTTGCTGAGAAACACTTTCAATTTTGTTGTCCGTTCTTCAAGCATCAACTTCCAATTGTAGTTTAGAATCCAATAACGCATTAGCAAATGATAAATAAAAAACTATATTCCTTTGGAAAAATATGCGGACTTGTTAACTGCACCAAAACCAATAACCAAAAATTGTAGAACATGTATAATCAATGAGAAAATATCCATACTCCATTCCAACAGAATTAGAATTCGTGTTTCCATTCCGATAGAATTTGAATTCGTGATTCCATTCCGATAGAATTGGAATTGAATAAATTAACTTGAATGCTTTCTTTTGTAGAGTTGAAGAGTGCACCACTTCCAACTCCACTAGAACACCTTGAAAATCAATGCCTGAATTAGCTTTTGACCTTTTAGTAACTCCTGTCTTTGTCCACACATTCATCCAACAAGTTACACAAGGGCAATTTCCTATGAATTTGATAATCCTTTTTATTTTGCAAGATTTACACCAGTGGATGTTTTATTCAAAGCTAATGTCCAACCAAAACAGTTCGGTGTCCAATTGTTCCATTCACAAGTATTGGTCCACCTACACAATGGATGTCTTGAGAAATTTCATTTTGTCTCATTCGACCAGTGAATATGGTCCACCTAAACAATGAAATTGCAGAGAAATATCAAGTGAATCATAGATTGAATAAATATCAATAAATCACAATGCTTTGAAAATCAAAATTAAAGAGTTGACCTCTCGATGCTTAGAAAATCAGAATGCAAAAGCAAAGGGTTGAAGCAGAGTTAAGAACAGTAGGGTTGAACAAACCATCACACACATACAACAAATCGAACCCTAAGGTGCAATAGAATCGAAGTAAACTCGTTAAAAAAATTTAACTGATGGAAGATTATGGTTCGAAAATCGAACCTTTGATAGAAATCGAAGATCTTACCTGTGATGGAATCGCCGACTGGAGTGGAGTCGTCGGCTGTGTATACGCCGGAGATGAAAGCCTTGCGGGAGATGGGTGTCGTCGCGTGGATGCCGACGGGATAGCCGGAGGTGAGCAGTCGACTAAGGGTCGTCTCGTGTGGCCGGAGGTAAGCAGCGTGGAGGAAGCGCCAGTGGTGAGCAGCGGAAGTGACCAACACCGATTGACAGTCTTCTGGTGTGGCCCGAGACGCCTACGTTTGGCCGGAGACGGAATCGTTTGGACTTTGGAGGATTCACGATGTAGGCGGAATCCATCTTTGCCCGATCAAAAGGAACATGTATTTAAAAGCCCTAATCTTTTAAGTGGATCCACTGATAGCAAATACACCCTTATTTATTTAGGTTATAAATCAATACCATGATTATAGGGATTATTTTTGGAAGTTACTAAACAAATTACTAAAGTACCCGTATTTATTTATTTAGTTATTTAATTTTTTATTTAATTTTGTTTGGCCCACATTGATGCATACAATAACACAATACTTACTTTAAACATTTGAACCTATATATCTCTCTCTCTCTCTCTCTCTCTCTCTCTCTATATATATATATATATATATATATATATATATATATATATATATATATATATATATATATATATATATATATATATATATATGGGCTAGGTTATAATGTGGTTAGACAACTAGTGTGTGGATGTGTGGATAATGCTATTTTATGAAAATTACTAAGAGAATATGTTGTTATGTAATGTGAATACGTTCCATCTCACATAACTATTGTTATTTTAATGGATTATCACCAATTTTAATTCATTTTTGTTCTCATGCATCGTTTCTTATTTATTTTAATTCTTACAGAATACGACTCAATAAACATCCTGATAACATTCTGACAGAATGAGAATAATTAAAAAAATGTATAATAACCTTATAGACGATTTAATTAGTGAAAATGATTAATAATTACAATAATTATATAAGATTGAACGTATTCATATTATCAAACAACATATTTTCTTTGTCATTCTCACATAATAGCATTATCCACACGTCCACACAATATATGTCAATCCACATTTGAACCTAGCTCTCTCTCTCTCTCTCTCTCTCTCTCTATATATATATATATATATATATATATATATATATATATATATATATATATATATATATATATATCAACCAAACACAACACAAATGTCCAAATGGCTTGTTTATACACAACAACATATGAAATATTATAACAAACAACTCTTTATTTTTTCTAAAGCAACTTTATATAACCAAAATGCATGAAAAATGGTTATATATAAAAATAAACAATTTTAACCAAGAAGTTGCCAAAAAAGACAAATATGGATTTTTTTTAACCAAAAGAAATCAATACGTGTTTTTCAAAAACCAAAGATTATCAAACATATAAAATCATTCTAACATATAAAAGATGGCTCTAATATCACTGATGGGATTTGATCCAAAATATAAGTTTGTTTTTCACAAAAACTGCAACGGAAGACTTTAAAAAATAACAAGTTTATTTTTAGTTCATAACAAAACCAAACCATCAAGGATCCATTTATAGAGGTCAGAATGAAATAAAAACAACCAAAGAGTTTTTAGAATGACAACCTTTGAAGCCTTTGAACCCACTTGGTTTTGGGGTGTTGATGAAGATAGCAAAAAAATCAAAGAGTATGATTTTCTTTGTGTATTCGCCATCAAGAGTAAGGCACTTGGAATGCTAGTTCATTCTTGTATTCTTGAGTGTCTTAAGCCTTTAAGTGCTTAACTCAAATAAGCACTAAAGGATACAACTCAAGAGGTCTTCTAATCACCAAACTAACTTCAAAAGAAAGAGAGCTGGGAGTAGAAGAGAGTTTCGGCCATATGGAAGAATGGAGAGAATCCACTAGAAAAACTAGCCAAAATACATGCAAGACACTCTCTTATATACCCATAAAAAGGTAAGGGATTTACATTAAAATACTCTAAATTAATGCTAGCCTTTAGAAGCATGGGGAGACAAAGCATGGAGGTTGATAAGCAACCTCATTCTTTGTTTAATATTTTCGGCCATACCTCTTGAAAAGAGAAGAGTTCTTTAATTTTTATAAACTCCAAGTTTATAAAATATAAACTTTGTCTTTAGCTAAAAGACAAAAGAATCCAAATCATCCAAAAGGTTGTGCATGACTTATTAATTCATACCATATGAAATAATAACTAGTTATACTCTCTTATAATTATTATTTTCACAAAACAATAATTATCCCATAATTAAATATAAGAAATGATATTATTTATTAATAATCATATTAATAATAAATATACAAAATGTGCCAACTTGATAAAGGTGTGACCCTATAGGATCATATATTATTAGCAATGTCACTCAATAATGATTCTTGGGTATATAGATTCAATAG